GGGGTGGGAGTAATTCGTAAACCAGCACCAAGTCAGCATAAACTCTCTACTGATCATTTTATGGATTCAGATATGAGCAAACGGATTATTGGCACGTATCCGTTTAAAATCAGGTGTCTGAATAACAACTTGTAAAAACTAACAGTGTTTCATAGGAAGAGGTTGGCCGTATATACCTTCATTTCAAGATGGCAAAATTTGTGTTCAAACTATCTTTCCCTGTGGCTAAAGGTCAACACTCAATTTGCATAAAGAAAATAGAAGCCTTACTGATCTACACATTCTTTTGAAGTAACACTGGCAGGGGGCAGTACACCTGTGGCCGTTTTCACTCAGTATAGGTGGACTCCTTCACAATTCAAACTCCCACCAACAAGTCTATTCCGACTCAGAGCAAACCCTATGGGACAGGGCGGAACTGCCTCTGCGGGTTTCCATGACTCATTGCAGAAGTAGAAAGCCTCAGGATTCTCCCTCGGAGTGGCTGGTGGTTTTGAACTGCTGACCTGGAAGCTAGCAACCCAATGCATAACCACTATGCCACCAGGGCTCCTCAGTGCAATCCTTGGTGGTCTAGATGCCTTCGGAAAAAGTTATGGACTGGTCACATAGGATCGCTTTCGGATTTCAATACTTAAAGAATCGGATCCTTCCTTTTCTAAAGGGACCTGAGAAAGAATCCACTTCAAAAGTTCCACGTGCAAACCCCCACAGCCTGATACTGTTGTAGATGAGACATGCGTCTGCCTAACCAAAAGGTGGGTGTTCTGAACCCACGAGCTGCTCGGAAGAAGAAAGAAGAGGCTGCGCTAAAAGATGTCTAGTCTCAGAAGCCCAAGAGAGGGGCTGTTGTGAGTTGGATGGCAGAGGGGTGCCACATTCTTGAGTCCAATTTATAATGGCACAGGAGGGCAGTCGAAGTGGGCCACAGAGCTTCCAGGGTCACAGTCTTAGCAGAAGCAGGCTGCCTCATCTTTCCCCTGTAGCACATACTTTCCGTTGGCACCTGAGTACATTGACTCATGGCTATAGACCCTCGAAACTACTTATGGAAAGTTCAAAGATTTAATTCAAAATCTCCATAACTCTAGTAATTATTTATTTATATATACATATATATATTTTTCTTTTTTTGAGGAGATATATATATATATATGTCTATATAATATATATTCTGCCTCCCTATAAATTGATGCAATACTAAAAAATTAAGATAGTCACCTAACACATTTTTGCTAGTGGTAATTTTCCAATTTAAAATATTTGACATGTGTGCTGCATATTTACTTGGGGAACAATAGTGGTATTTCTTCATCCTTAAACATCTCAATTTCTTTTCTCACTTCCTATTCCAAAGTCCTTCTCAACTTGTTCTTTCATTTTTGTGATAAATCTGATAAATTTATCTTTCAAATGTTAGCTTCCCAGGGTTTCCCCCCTCCCATGCTCTACATAAAGACCTTCTGCCATCAGCCTTAAATCTAAAAAAAATTATGTTATGTTTCAACTTGTTCAAATATAGCATAATAAGCTGTTTAAATGGTTATATATACAGTTGCTTCTAATCACCTGGAAAATAATAATAATAATAATAATAATGAAATGGAACCAACATCCTCAGGGCATAATAGAAAAATAAAAAGGTAATCATTATTAAACGTAAACTGCCGACTACAGAGGAACACACAAAGGTTATTAAGAAATTGTGCAAAGGAGTTACAAATTATCTGGTATGCTGTTATAGTGGTGAGAACAGGATTATGCATGGCAAAATATACTGCAATGTTTCATTTAGCCTAATTTCTCAATTAAGATACCAGTAACATTTTACACAAAGTTTATGTCCAATTATATATTTTTAAAACGCTTTAATATAACACATATTAATATCATTCTAAAATATTATATGTTTATAAGAAAATAATTCTAAAATCAAACCATAGATTTCTCACTAATTATGATATATATATATATATATATATATATATATATACACACTGATATCAATAATGAGCATGTCCTGCATTCCTACCTAACTGAATGTGGGTCCCATTAATTTATCTAGTTCTTGCTCCCTAACTAACACCAATGCCTCTGGGAACACTCTCCCTGCCCCCTAATATAACAGTCCCTCCCATCACAGAAAGTAACCTAAACTGAAATGAACCAAAGGAAATGATGACTACGGACTGCTCTTGAATAATAAAAATGGTAGTTTCCAAGGGCTTCACCTAGTGTGTGCCCAAAATAGTTTCTTCAGTACACAATACAGCAGTTACAATGTACCCAGGTGTTACCACTATGGTACCAGAGTTCGCTCTGTAAAATATAGCAAAACAGTCTGATTAAACCGCAAGTGTGAACATAAGGAGGGGCAGTTCTGTGCAAACACAAAAACCACAGAGAAAACGTCATGGGAATCTGACTTTGGACCTGCCTCAGTGGAGCTGCACTAACCAGTCAGTCTACCCAATAAATTCAATAAGCAATCCTGCATCCCTCACACCATGTCACCTGCATCCATAATGCTTTTGATAAATTTAGTTTCCATATCTTTTCGTAGATTTCAACAAGAACCTATTTTATCCTTCAAAACTTAAGAGGGAATTCTATTCTTTTCCTACCTCAATACAGTAAAAACTATTGAGTCCATTATGAAATTGCAGAGAAACCATTTTTGTCATTAGAGAAGAGACTATGTAATTCATATCTTTTGACTGCTTGGCAAGTTATAAAAACTCTACAGTAAATAATAACATGTTCAGGGGAAAATTTAAATTACGAGAGGTGAATATCAATTCTAAAACACGCATGTGGGTAAAGACAAATGAGTTGGTTTTTTTCTACTGCAAAAAAAGAAATCATTATCTTCAAAGGATGTAGCGATGTGACATTAGTTCTTAATATCACTTTGGCTTAACCATTGATAATTGCAAAGTATCACCGTAATATTTTGTTCTCAGGTTTCATTAAGCATGCATGGCAACAGGTAAACATGGAGCTAGAACAATCCAGAGGTGCCACCTGCTTAGCTGAATAGTCCGTTCCTCCTACAGTGCTGACAAATCTCAAGGGGCTGTTACATCACACAGATGAATCATCAGCTACTTCTCCGGATACCAGATACATCATGCCTTCCATTTACTGTTTAATTGTGGCTTTGCCCCTTTTTATATTTCCTCAATATAAAGAACCTTATAGGACATACCGTATATACTCGTGTATAAGCCGAGTTTTTCAGCACATTTTTAATGCCATTTTTGTGGTAAAATTAGGTGCTGTGGCTGATATTCAGGTCAGCTTATACTCAAGTATATATGGTTTCTGTTTTGTTATATTTTATTGCAGTCAAATAAAATGATTTGGTACAAAACACAGATAGTAACTTTGAAAACATTCTGAAAAGTTTTACGTATTTGCCAGTAAACACAAGGTGTTTCTTGTTTGTTTGTTTTTTGTGTGTTTGTGTGCTTGTTTTAAGATATTCTTTGGAGTCTATATTTAAAATATATTCATTTACAAGTTTGGTTGATTCCTGGACTGGTTCCTTTATTCTTTTACTCATCAATTCGGCTACACATTGGGGCACAATAATGAGCAAGGGAGATAAGGGTCCTTGTCTCAAATTGCTTAAATCTAATAGAGAATATAACTGAAAAAACGCATTGCCATTGAATTGATTCTGTCTCAGAGCAACCCAATAGGGCAGGGTAGAACATTCCCTGTGGGTTTCCAAGATTGGCCTTGCGGTCAGCAGTTACAATGTACCCACAGTGTAACCACTATGGTACCAGAGTTCCCGCTATACAATCTCATCATGTTATACCCTCACTCACTGCCACTGAGTCGATTCCAATGCATAGTGACCCTACAGGACAGGACAGAACTATCCTCATGGTATAGTGGGTTACGAGTTGGGCTGCTACCTACAAGGTCCACAGTTTGAAACCACCAGCCACCCCGCAGTAGAAAGAGGAGGCCTTCTACTCCCATCAAGAGTTAATTTCAGAAACCCAAGAGAGATGAATGAGGCTGTAGTGAAGCGTACCCTTTTTACCTCAAGATCCCTGTGCATTGAACCTCCTTGATGCAGGAGACAGCCATGACACCAGAGGAGCAATAGAGGCACAACAGCAGCAGAGCCAGGCCTCAGAATATGAGACAGAGTAGTGGCCTTCTCAGCCCACTAAGGCAGTACAGCGAAGTGCCTTCAGTCAGGAGGCTAGCTTGAGGAACAGGGTGCCTTTGGGAAAGCTGAGTGCCTTGGGGGTGGAGCATTATTGTGGAGTAGCATGGCTTTTTGCGTATTTATTGGCAATCCTAAAAGAGCTTCATAATATTTCTTGAGCAGGGCAGAGGCCAGGCCAGGCCAAATGGCTGAGGGTCAAAAAGAGTCCTGCCTGTTGACACGACAGAGAAGATATTGCCCTGATTGAACAATTGCATTCTGCAGCATTTTCACACTTGAATTGTAATCTGTTAGCACCCTTAATAAAAATAAACAAAAATTCACGATGGGGGGCATTATGTGAGTTCTACAAGGCCACTGCAATGACTCCTCAAACCCAGCCACATAAGTGGAGTGCTGTGGGAGGGATGCGAGCTGGCAGGACAGTTGGAGGGTGGAGGCATGTAGGCTGGAGCCTCATAGAAATCAGCCTTGGACAGCTGATGCAGACAGTGGTGATTCCCACCCCACCCCACCCCTGGGGCAATTACAGTAGGTCACATACCACTCCTGCATGGTTCTTTTTAAGTCAATTCATGAATCACAGCTCAATGGGTCTTAAACATGTGAAAAGATCCATATTTTCAGGTATTTGTTTAAGGGAAAAACGAATGAAAAAATGAAATCTCTCTTTGTATTCTTTAGGTTGGTGAAAATGTATAGAGCTATATATTGTTAAAAATTTAGAAAAAAATAAAGACATCTTTTTGGATAGACTCTTTAGTTTGAAGAGTTTTAAATGCCCTTAAAAGGTGATATGGGAGATCGATCTAAGATGGCGACTGTGGAACCGGAAACCACTCCTACTCCTAATCCCCTACCTACAGAAGAAGAGAAAACAGAATCTAATCAGGAGATTGCTAATCCAGAACACTATATTAAACATCCACTACAGAACAGATGGGCACTCTGGTTTTTTAAAAATGATAAAAGCAAAACTTGGCAAGCAAACCTTCGGCTCATCTCTAAGTTTGATACTGTTGAAGATTTTTGGGCTCTGTACAACCATATCCAGTTGTCTAGTAATTTAATGCCTGGCTGTGACTACTCACTTTTTAAGGATGGGATTGAGCCCATGGGGGAAGATGAGAAAAACAAACGAGGAGGACGATGGCTAATTACATTGAACAAACAGCAGAGACGAAGTGACCTCGATCGCTTTTGGCTAGAGACACTGCTGTGCCTTATTGGAGAATCTTTTGATGACTACAGTGATGATGTCTGTGGGGCTGTTGTTAATGTTAGAGCTAAAGGTGATAAGATAGCAATATGGACTACTGAATGTGAAAACAGAGATGCTGTTACACATATAGGGAGGGTATACAAGGAAAGGTTGGGACTTCCTCCAAAGATGGCGATTGGTTATCAGTCTCACGCAGACACAGCGACGAAGAGCGGCTCCACCACT